GTGTAGTAATGGTTGGGAGGTCGGCCCGGGAATGTGCAGTGTTTCATTCTGCTGTACATAGGGTCGCTATGAGTTGGTACCTACTTGATGGCACCTAACAACAAAAACAATACTGTATCAAAAAGTAATAGTCAATGTTCAAACATTTTAATATATAGCATAAGATCAAGAGTCAATGGTCCTGAAGGAAGAAGTTCAAGGTGAACTGACAATATTGGATCTGAGAATTATTGTAATACAAACTGAAATATTTCAACAAACTAAAGGCGTTCTGGTAGCATAGTGGTTACAAATCGGGCTGCGAACCACAAGGTCAGCAGTTTGAAACTACCAGCTGCTCCGCGGGAGAAAGATGAGGCATTCTGCTTCCATAAAGATTAACAGCTTCGGAAACCCTGTGCAGGGTTGCTATGAGTCGGATCCAACTCCATGGCACATAACAACAACAACAACAATGTAGCACTGAAGGCACTCACTCATCTATACCATGGAATTTGGAAGATAGCTACCTAGCCAACTGATTGGAACAGATACATATTTGTGCCTTTTCCAAAGAGAGGTGACCCAACAGAATTCAGAAAGCATCAGACAGTATCATTAATATCACATGCAAGCAAAATTTTACTGAAGATCCTTAAAAAATGGTTGCAACAATACATCAACAGGAAACTGCCAGAAACTCAAGCCAGCTTTAAAAGCAGAATTGTACTGAGGAATTATCACTGCTGACATAGATGAGTATTAACTGAAAGAGAATACCAGAAAGATGTCTATCTGTATTTTATTGACTATGCAAAAGCTTCCAACTCTGTGGATCATTGCAAACTATATATAACATTGCGAAGAATGGGTATTCCAGAATACTTAATTGTTCTTGTGAGGAATCTGTACATAGGCTGTCATTTGAATAGAACAAATGGATAGTGACTGGTTTAAAATCAGAGAAGTTGGTGTCAGGATTGAATTATTTCACCATACTAATTCAATCTGTATGCTGGGAAATAATCTGAGAGGCTGGATTTTATGAGGAAGAACATGGCTTCAGGATTAGAGGAAGAGTCATTAACAACCTGCAATATTCAGATTGCACAACTTTCCTTGCTGAAAGTGAAGGGGACTTAAAATACTTACTGATGAAGATCAAAGACCACCACTTTTACCAACTCAATATTACCTAACAAAAACAACAATAATCAGTCAAAACTGACTTAACAGCATGTAAAAACAACAACCAAGTAGTAACACGAAAATTTTCTAATGAGAACATGAAGGATTTGGGACAAATTCAATTCACAGCATAAAGAAGTCCTCACTGGGCTTACCATACCCTTTCATCTTTTTTTTTTTTTCCAGTAAATCTTATTTTCCACAAGCCACATTAAACCTACTTCCTCTAGTAAGTGTTCAAATCAGTGTGAAACATTTTTCTGCTCATTTTACATGGTATGCACAGAATGGTGAAGAGGATTTAAAATTTTTATCAGTTACATAAATACTTCAGGATGCTTTTCACAGACTTTTACTGAGGGTCATTTGCTTTAACCAGAGCATTTTAATTAATGCTTCATGGTCTATGTGTTGAGGACTGAATCTCCCTACAGAAATACACTGATATCAGCTCAAGAAAATCCCTTTAGGATTGAATGGAAAACAAACTTTGCACTGTAATTATAGTAACTGACCTATTAGTAGTCTCCAAAATTTTCATACCTTTAATCCCACATGTTTTAGAGATCAAGATTTATATTGAGATACTCTATTAGTCCTAACACCATAAAGCAGGTAACAAGTTGTTACTAGTTCTGAAAAATACTCAGGTAAGATAAACATTCTGATTTATTTTTACTTTTCAAATTTATATCTATAAATAAATTTCAAATGTTATTATTTTCATTATTCTTAGATTTCAAATCATTTATTTTTCTAGTATTTTTATAAACTGAAGACCATGGGGAGCTATGATAAGACACAGTACTTCAGTTCACACTGACTTATTTTCATTGTAAGGTACAATTTCAAAACATGCAGGTAAGGACGAAAAATAATCCTATTAAATAATTCAGTTATGTGTATTACATGTTGTTTCTAAATTAGCTGTTATTTTAACTTTTTTTTATAAACAAATAAACTGTTTAGCCAGTTTCTTCCTTTTGATGTTCATGGAAAACTAGTTTTAATATTACAGAAAAATAAATCAGTTTTGACCATAAAATTTGTAAGATTAGCATCTTCCATTAAGATGTTTTGCTGCTTTCAATGGATAATGAGATAGGCTTTAAGGAGAAATAAAATTTGATATAAAAAATCCCTCAGCATATTTAAAGTGTTTTCTATTTTTATAAATGTTAGAAAACAAAGTATAAAGATAAGCATACTTTAATTTATTAACATAAGCTATTATGATATAACTCAGAACATATTATAATTTTTTTAGGCAACAGAAATATACCAGGTTGCATAAAATATGATGAAATGTACTTAGTGTTACACTAAGTTGTACACTTGAAAATTCTTGAATTGGCAAGTGTAGTGACGTATATTTTTACAACTTTACAAAATAAATTCAAATAATAGAAATACACTTATCTTGTTATCAAAAAGAGTTTTCCTTTGTAGGCTTTTCTTCAAAATTAATAGTCTAATTAGCAGACCCAAAGAGGTCACTAGTGTCACTGGTAGTTGTTTTTGTTAAGTGCCATGGTCTGACCCATAGTGATCCTGTTTAGGACTTCCAAGGAGAGGCTGGTGAGCTTGAACCACAGATGCTGTGGTTCAAATCGACTTTGCAGTCCAGCACATTAATCCACAGTGCCACACCAGAGCTCCAGTATCATTGGTCTGTTATTGAAAAGAAATTCACTTGTCCCAGGTGAACATGGAGGAGTTAAGATTTAATCAATTCTGCATTTTATTATTGCATTTTACAGCTCCCTTCACAGAAATAGAAGTCACTGTTAATCACAAATTCTTCAAATCTAATAAATAAATTGTGCATACACATAATAAAAAATGCAATGTAGATTAAACAAGGAATTCTCGATTCTGTGATGTATATAAGATATACTTAGATGCACAGAAAATGGAGATCAACATGGTCTCGTTTGGTTATTTAAAGTTTTATTAATAGGAAGAGTCAGGGTCTATGAAAATGAGTAAGTGTGGCAATGGAATGAGATGAGAGAGCTGAAAAATAAGTGGACATCATGAGAAAGATGGAAGAACTACTGGTGAATGTAAGAATGAAGGACTGGTGGATCTGGTTCGAGAGACTCATAAATGCCATCCTAAAGAACTTGAATTTATCTTAGAGACAACTGAATTCTTCCTGACAGCAGAGCTTTACTGTGGTAATATTTTAAAGTGAGCCACTAACTTTTAATTAAGATAAATACATCTGGAAATGACAAGAGAATGTTACCTTAACTAAGGAATCAAACAATGTGGAGTTTCTATTTGATAAATTGTGGAACAAGCTTGAGAGGATACATAATGAATAACAAATATCATAATATAGTCATAGTTATTATTAGTTTGATCACTATTAAATCATTACACAATATATTATAACAACAGGAGACCTGAAAAGCTAGAAAAGGAACGTATTTAGATAAAAGAGGAAAATATTGGCAAATTATTTAAACTACTCTCAGAAAATGCTGGCAATTGTTCATTTCTATTAACCCTCTCTGTCTGATATCAGAATGGGTTAATAGAAATATGAAGATGATATGTACCAATTAACTTATTGAGAAAATCAATTCACTTTTATTTCCTGAGCTTTCCAAGGTAATTTTCTTTAAATAGTCTCGTCTTAAACATTAGTGCTGGTTTAGCGCTATAGGATAAGCACTGGACTAACAATCACAAGGTCGATGGTTCAAACCTACAAATCTCCTTGGAAACCAAAGTTGCTATGAGTTGGAACTTACTTAACAGCACTTAACAATAACAACAAACTTAGTGACCTTTCAAATTTGTATTTAACATCCTAGTAGTATGCCATTTTAAAATATTCACTGAACCATAAGAGTGTGTTAAAAATGTTAACTCAGTGAAAAAAAAAAATGGATATACAAGAAAATAGATTTTAAATACACTTTAAGACTTACCAATACAAAAACTGACATTGAAATATTTGAAAACACTAAACCTAGAGTACCCTGTATTTGTTCATTCCCTTTTCACCTGCAAACATTTTCATGGAATTATTAAAATGTTCTTGTGAATCTTAAGCTTCAGCACTTGAAACATAAACTTTAGGGCAATGAGTGTTCCTTAGAAGTAATTTTGCCTTTCAGTAATTTTGTATTTCAGACACCAGGGGAAGGTTAAAGAAGTGGCTCTACTCTCTTTTATTTAAGAGAAATCCAATGGGAAAATCGGAAAGACTCTAAATTAGAATCTTATCTCTTCACAATTCCTATCTCAACAGAGAAAGCAGAAATGACTGAAGATAATCATTCCTTGACAAATGAATTTATCCTCACAGGATTTACAAGTCGCCCAGATCTGAAGACCCTTCTGTTTGTGGTGTTCTTTGTCATCTATCTGATCACCATGGTGGGAAATCTTGGTTTGGTTGCATTGATTTTTATGGAGCGCCGGCTCCACACACCAATGTACATCTTCCTTGCAAACTTGGCTCTGATGGATTCCTGCTGTTCCTGTTCCATTACCCCCAAGATGTTACAGAACTTCTTTTCTGAGAACAGAATGATTTCTCTCTATGAATGCATGGCACAATTTTATTTTTTCTGCCTTGCTGATACTGTGGACTGCTTTGTCTTGGCAGCAATGGCCTATGATCGCTATGTGGCAATATGCAGCCCACTGCAGTACCACACCATGATGTCAAAGCAACTCTGCATACAGATGGTCATAGGGGCCTACATAGCTGGGAATCTTCATTCCATTATTCATGTAACACTTCTGTTAAGGTTAACCTTCTGTGGATCTCATAAAATCAATCACTTCTTCTGTGATGTTCTTCCACTATATAGACTCTCTTGTGTTGATCCTTATATCAATGAACTGATGATACTTATCTTGGCTGGGTTAATTCAAATCTTAACTATTACCATTGTCTTAATCTCTTATCTTTGCATCCTTTTCACTATTTTCAAAATGAAATCCAAAGAGGGAAGAGGTAAAGCCTTATCTACTTGTGCATCTCATTTTCTCTCTATCTTAATATTCTATGGTTCACTTCTCTTCATGTACATTTTGCCACATTCAGCTGAAGAAGCAGATAAAGATATACCCATTGCTATTTTTTATACTCTAGTAATTCCTTTATTAAACCCTTTTATCTATAGTCTAAGAAATAAGGAAGTCATAACTGCTATGAAAAGAATTATGAAGAAGAGAAAACCTCATAACATTTTGAAACAAATATCGTCTCCTATGACAAATTGACTTTACTCAGATAATAATTTATCAAAATCAAGCATACTGAGAAAATATAATATGACCACTCTCTATAAAATCTTACATCACTAAACAACAATGTTTTTAAGTCAAATAAAGTGATTAAATAATTTCAGAAAGGAGGGATCTGCTAAAATATGTAGTAAGCTCTCTTAGAAGTGAATTAAATGATTTCTCCTAAAGTCACAAATTGTGTCAGAGTGGGATTTTTTTATTCTGTGAATCCAACAAATTCTAGAACTAAATGTCAATACATATAATCAGCCTCCATTTATTGTTGGCAAATTTATGGAATCCCTATGAATAATTTCACAAATTCATACAGATTCAAATTCTCATATATATTATCATATATATTGTTTAACGGAACTACCAGAAGTCAGTTGTACATTTGAATTTGAGCCTCAAATTTCCTTGAGTTGTTTCAATATAGATTTATACAAAATATGTATCCTCGTATTAAGAACATGTGTATATTTAGTGTTAGTAAGTAATTTTTTCTGTCAAACTCTCTGATAGGTTGATAGTTGTCAATGACGCATGGCACTGCAATTCCAGAATACATAAATTAATTCAAGAGTTCCCTCATGGATAGCCTTCCTTGTTTGTTTTTAGGAATATCAATGATCAAAACTAATTGTTCTGGTAAAAACATGTTTGTTTTTAGGACTATCAATAATCAGAACTAATTCCAATGTAAATAACTTATATATTATTAACAGTAATAAGAAGTTGGAGAAGCTATTCAGCATAAGTTTTACAGAAAATAGTGAAAAATCCTAAAAAGTTAAACAACAACAAAAATACTATTTACTTAAATGTGAAGATTTTTTGGGGAAAAAGTTTTAATAGGAACCCACTGTCTGCTAGGAGTTCTGGTGTGATGCTGTAAGATAAGCCCTAGAGCACAAGGTTGGTTTGAACTGCAAAATCAGCAGTTCAAACTCACCCTATACAGGATCGATATGAGTAGAAAACCTACTTGATAGCACTTAACAACAACAACGACTTCTCTACTAATACAAAACTAAACCTTTCACATATATTATATTCCTTTCAAATGGACTTTACTTTTCATTCTTCACAGATTTAAAAAAAAAAAAAAATCATGCTTTGGAATATTGAAGAACCTATCTAAATTTATAGAGGAATATGGAATGGAGTTAGGATTGGAATCAATGGTGTCTTTTCCCCATTCTATTTTATCACTCCTTTCACATATTCTTAAATCACTGTTAATCTCAAAGTGTTTAACATCTTATAAGGAAATTGAGAATATAAACATAGGGAAAAACAAATATAGACACACAAGGAATTTCAGTTTGTGTTGGGCGTATAGCATGTACTTGGTAATTCATAAACAGAGATCAGTTTTGCCTGGATGTTTAATCGTACTCATGCAGAGCCTGTTCATAGATCGACACTGTCATTCAAATAGAACAACTGAATACTGCATGAATTAAAATTAAAAAAGGTGTGTCAGAATTGTATCCTTTTCCTATACTTTTTAATTATGTTTGCTGAGTAAATAATCCCTGAAGCTGGACTGTATGAAAAAGAACATAGCATCAGGATTGGAGGTATATTCTAATGGAGCTGTGGTTTAGGCATTGGGCTGCTAACCACAAGATCAGTGAATCAAACCCAATAGCTGTTCTGTGGGCAAGGATTAGGCTATCTGCTCCCATAAAGATTTAAAATATCAGAAGGCCTATATAGGATGGGTCACTATGAGTCAGAATTGACTGGTAGCAGTGTTTAGTGCACTTTAATATTTTTCATATATTTGTTTACCATTTACATTCTTTTTTCCTAAAAATACCTTGTTCATATCCTTTGTCTACTCTTTAATTTTGCCTTATCATTTTGTTTTCTATTCATATACAATATTACCAATCATCTGTCAATGAAATGTGCAAAGACCTAGGGTTAGAAAGCCAAAGTGAAGGACAAACTTGCCATTTCTCAAGCTAGAAGAACTGTATAAAACTTCAAGCATCGAGCTGCAATATAGCAGGATTTTATGGGTACAAAACTGAGTGAAAAAGGAAATATCAAGGGACGATCAAAGAACTAAACAGTTACATTACCAAAAAGAATTAGTTGATGTTCAACCATTTCTGGAGGTGCATATGATTCAAGAAATTATGCTACTAGCAGAAACTCAAGTTGCACTGAAAGCGTTGGTGAAAAACAAGGCTCAATAGATTACCACTTTTAAGAAACAAATACAATGCTGGCAGTGATCACTTCACTATTCTATGCAAAGTCTGACCATTCAACTGGAAGAAACCCATATTTGTGCCCATTTCAAATAAAGGGGATCCAACATAATGCAGAAAATATTGAATATCATTAATATCACTAGCAAGCTAAAGATAATTTTTAAATGGTTGCAGCAGTACATCGAAAGGGAACTGTCAGAAATTTAAGCCAGATTCAGAACAGCTGGTGAAATGATGGGTATCACTGCTGATGTCAGACGAATTTTGACTGAAAATAGAGCATACCAGAAAGATGTTACCTATGTTTTTTTGTTTTTGTTTTTGTTTTTGATTATTCAAAGACATTTGATTGTATGGAGCATAACGAATTTTGGATAACATTGCAAAGACTGGGAATTGAAAACACTTAACTGTGCTCAAATGAAACTTGTACATAAACAAAGATGCTGTCATTCAAACATAACAAGGGGATACTGCATCATTAAAAATCAGGAAAGATGTGTCTGGGTTGTATCCTTTCACCACCATTTTTCAAATTATATGCCAAACAAATAATATGAGAAACTGGAGTATATGAAGAAAAATGTAGCATTGGGACTGGAAGAAGACTTATTAACAACCTATAATGTGCAAATGATGCAACTTTGCTTACTGGAAGTGAAGAGGACTTGCAGTATATACTGATGAAGATCAAAGACTACAGGCTTGATTATAGATTGCACGTCAACCTTAAGAAAGACAAAAAGAAACCTCATAAGTGGACCAACAAGCAACATGATAAATAAAATATTAAAGTCTTCAAGGATTTCGTTTTACTGAGATCCACAATCAGTGCCCATGGTAGCAGCAGTCGATAAATCAATGGCATATCTCATTGGGCAAACTTGATGTAAAAGTCCTGTTTAAAATGTTAGAAGAAAAAAAACAGTAATACCACTTTGAGGATGAAGATATCTCTGACCCAAGCCATGGCATTTTCAAACACCTCAAATGCATGCAAAAGCTAGACAATGAATAAGGAAGTTGGAAGAATAATTGGGGCTTTTGATTTATGATGTTGGCAAAGAATATTGAACACAGCATAGAGTGCCAAAACAAATCAGTCTTTCTTGGAAAAAGTAGAGGGAGAATGTTTTGGAAGCAAATATGTTGAGACTTATCTCACATACTTTGGACATGCATCAGAAGGGGCCAATCCCTGAAGAAAAACATGCTAGGTAAAGTATATTGTTGTTAAGTGCTGTTGAGTAAGTTCTGACTCATAGCTACCCTGTATAGAGTTTCCAGCTCTGTAAATCTTTGCAGGAGCAAAAAGTCTCATCTTTCTCCTTTGGAGCAGCTGGTGGGCTTGAACTACTGACCTTGTGTTTAGAAATTCAGTGCTTACCCTACAGAACCACAGAGCTCCTTATTAAAATATTGCTATTGTTGTCATTGCTAAGTGCTGTCTTACAGTGACTCTATATAGGGTTTCCAAGGAGCAGCTGGTGAGTTTGAACCACTGACTTTGCAGTTCAAACTGACCTTGCAGTCCAGTGCATTAACACGCAACACCACACTAGGACTCAGAAAAAGAGGAAGACCCTAAAACTGAGACAGATTGATGCAGTGACTACAATAATGAACTCAAACATAGCAATGATACAGTGAGGAAGTTACAAGACTAGGCAGTTATACATTCTGTTGTACATAGGCGTGTTATGAGTCAGAACCAAGTCAATGACACCTAACAACAATGTGTATATGTATACATATATGCGTGTGTGTCTTATGTGTGAGTGTATGTATTTCTTCTTTACTGAATTTAGTTAAACATTTCACAAGTCTTTGACCTTCTATTTCCCAGTGTTTGTGGTGGCTTTTTAGTTATATTTACATTCTCTATGTTCAATATTGAAAATATTGAAAATCAGTTCTACTGAGAAATTTTATTACCACATAAAATTTACAAATAGGTGAGTTTTAATGCATTGGTTCTTTTTATTTCTTCAGTCTTTACTTACACTTAATGCTTATGAAAATTACAGTCTTTTACACCTATATCATATTTGTCCTGTTGAAATTGTATTATGGAGAAGGCTGAGTAATGTCCTTCACAGCAATGTCTATATGCTGCTCACTGGTCTATTATTTTATATCACTCTTTAATTCAGGTGTACAATGCTAGATAAATAACAGAGCAGGATACATTTCATTCTTTGTTTTTCAACATTGCAATTCACTGATCTGTGATTGTTGTTGAGTGTTGTCAAGTTGATTACAACTCAAAGTGACTCTATGGGAAAGTGTAGAACTGCCCCCATAGGGGTTCTTAGATTGTAATCTTTACCGGAGCAGATGGGCCAGAGTGTTCTACTGTTAAGCAGCTGGGTGGATTCAAATCATCAGCTTTTTAGTTAGCAGCAGCCCTATGCTTAATAGTTGCACCAACAAAAAATCAAATATCTCAAGTTTACAAAAAAAAAAAACCCATAAAGAAATTTTTCTCAAGTAAAATGCCCTTACTAATTTATTTTTATTTCTATTTAAACAAATCAGAACAGCTTACTGAATGTCTTGCAAATAGACAGTACATTATAAATTTTCTACTGAAAAAAATGAGGACTTTATAGAACTGAATGATAATAATATGGAAGATAATATTTATATAGTTAGTAAGACCCTTCGTTTGTCAGAATGTATGATTTTGTTTTTATCTATAGTCAAGGCAGAAGAAATAGTTTACTTGCATCTACTGCTGCATCATCACCTCAAAAGACATTC